ATTGAAAATTTCCTTGACTCATGTTCTTTGAAGAGTTTAAGACGAGGTGTTAATGAGTTAGTCTGCATACGAGCTATCAGAAGCTGAGTGTGCTCAGAGCAAGAAGCCGTTGAATTGGAATTGCTGTTAAGAAAGGAATGGAAACCATAATGAATTGTTAGTTTTGAGGATTTGGCAAACTTGGCTTTTCCATTCGCAAATAATATCTTGATAATTCTAATGAGAAATAGACTTAGGTAACTTTTGATAAAAGCCTAATTCCAGAATGGTCACTTTCTGCTCTGGTCTTTTAATGTGTAAATACTTACTGAGGTCCTCTGTCTTCTGGTATGAATTTTCCCTTATTACACAAACTCCACATGGCCTTGAAGTGAGTTCAGAAGAGAGGAAGCACTCTATACTGTGTCCAGAGTTTAATGAACTCAGAGAGCCGTGCTCCTGCGTGTTCGTTCCAAGTTCTCACAGTGCTGTTGACACCTGGTAGCAGGAACTTGCTGCTGCTTTTGGAGCATTGCTCTGTCATTTTTCTTTTTCTAATATATGTTTATTGATTTCAGAGAGGAAGGGAGACGGGGAGAGAGAGATAGAAACATCAATGATGAGGGAATCATCAATCGGCTGCCTCTTGCATGCCCCTTACTTGGGACCGAGCCCACAACCCCGGGCATGTGCCCTGACTGGGAATTGAACTGTGACTTTTTGGTTCATAGGGTCAAGGCTCAACCACTGAGCCACGCTGGCCAGGAAGGCACTTTGTTGTTTTTCTTGAGGCTGGATTGAGGCTTGTCACCTCAGTTGCCCTCATTTGTCCTTGTCTCCCTCTTCCTCCTCTCGTGTATGTTACTGACAGTATGATTCTTTTTCTAATATCCAATTAGGGGGAAGGATAACTGATTTGGGGCTCTTGTGCCCATAGCCTTTGTATGTGCCCATAGCCCTTAGCCCCATAGCCCTTAGCATTCTCTCAAGTATGTTGTAAGCACAGAAGTATCTAAATGGGGCCAAAATTCAGACTTGAAAATGTTCTTTTAATAGCTTCTTAAGAAGTTACATTTAGGTGTGAATTTTGGCACAGTAGAGTGACAAAGTTACAGTTAAATGCTGAAAAGCTTCAGTTAGTGTGGTATAAAGTGTGTTTAGAGTATGTTTGTAATTGCTGAAAACAATTCTAATTTACCTCAACATCTGAAAGTCTCTCCCCCCAAGTTAAGTGCCTGGCCAGCTGTTGTCAATTACACATTGCTTTGTTTTTTAAAGGTTGCATGTTCAAGAGCATGAAAATACAATGTTCTGTGTAAAGGCTACCACGCCTACCCTGTTAAGTGCTGTATTTGCTTCAACAGCTTCCTATAGAATGTTACTTGGTAATATGGTATCATACTTGTTACAGTTTCCACTTCAGGAGTGAAATGGGTAAAATTGTTCTCATGTATTTTAGTGGGCCCCGTGTTTAGTCTGTTCATGGTTCTTTAAACTGCTGTGAATTTTTTTGTCTTGACTTGAAATCAAGAATAGAGAAACACTTTAAAGAGATACTTTGTTTTTTCCGCATTCCAGAATTGCTGAGCATAATCATATTTTGTTTTACATTTACAGTCATGAACTCTTAAGCTGGCAGCTACAACAAAGAACCAAAAAATGGTGCACGCACTCTGCTTCTTGTAATTCATCTCTGCTAACAGGTTACAAGAAACAGGATTATTAATTAGGGGAAATATTTTATTTGGGTTGTTTTCATAAACAAGGGACTGTAACTTTGTACATTGTTTTACATCTTTGTTGTTTTTTTAAGCAGTCCAGTGTGCCACAATTATTTGAAGGTGTTCCCTGCGAGAATTGTTTGAAAAGTGTTCTTGTTATAAAAGTAGTTGTAGATATATTTCAATATAACTGGTGATTTTTAAAAGCCTGAGTACTGACCTAAGAAGCAATTGTATGACTTCTACTCTGGAGGGAAGGGATCTCAATGGGTGTTGTGTGACTTCTATATTTCTGTGCCATCAAATATAGGTCAAATGATTGATTGTGCAATTCTGCTGTTTAAACGGCAACTATTGGCCTCCTTGGCCCTAAATGAAAGGGCTGATATTTTAAGTTGCCTATTTTATTGTAAATTAATCCATCTAATTTTTAAATTTTTGGTTGAATGTTTTTCTTTTCAAATGTTTAAAAAATAAAAACTGGAAGTTCTTTGCTCAGTTATCATTTTTCCCCACTAAAGTGCCTTTATTGAAAGTTAATATTCATGGCAAACTTTTGAATGTGACGGTGTTTGAAGACCTGAGTTCCTCATTTGATCTCAATCTAAAATGTCAAAGCGTGCTTTAAATGATTACTTGGGGATGATTCACAGCCAAATGATTCATAGCTATATGTCACATTCTCTCACATTAATATGAAGTGCTTAAAACTGCCACTGGAAATCTGCATTACTGCATAGTCTACCAGTCTTGGTACGGTTGGAAGAGCATTAGTCTAGGAGCCAGAAAACATGGGTTCCAACCATAATTTTCTATTCCAGCCTACAGTGTCCTCATTTATAAAATAGGGAAGTTGAATGAGGATATCTGAGATTTCCCAACCCTAATTAATGAGACATGTTTATAAAAGAATGCTATCAAACTTAGGCTTCTCCACCTAACCCTGGAACACTGATCATCAGGACCTTGGTTTATTCTACCAAAGGCTTCAATTGTTTTATTATTTTTTTTCCCTTAAAAGGGGAATAGGGAGGCGATAGTTAATATTTGGCCGAATTGAACTTAAGAAAACCAAATGTAAGTGACAAATACTGTTTAAACAGGAGGCTACCATGAAGAGTATAAAATGCATGTGAAAAAGAAGCAATCATGGACTTTGTGTATGTAGGACAGATTTCCCCCTTAAATCAAGCACTGATGCTACATAGCAGATATTTTCTTCTGCCGATACTTGACCTCCCAATAGCTGAGAAAGTAAAGGTTTTCTTCTGATAAGAGCTGCTATTCTGCTCAGCAAAATGAAGCTGCAGCCCTGGCTGGTTTGGCTCAGTGGATAGAAGGGTCCCGGGTTCAATTCCAGTCAAAGGCCTGTACCTCGGTCACAGTCTGCTCCCTGGCCTGGGCCCTGGTTGGGGCTCATGCAGGAGGCAACATCATTTTTCTCTCACATCGATGTTTCTCTGTCTTCCCCACTCTCTTCCACTTTCTCTAAAAGTCAATGGGAAAATATCCTCGGGTGAGGATTACAAAATAGTGAAGCTGCAGAGTGGGCCCTGGTTGGGGCTCATGCAGGAGGCAACAGATCATTTTTTCTCTCACATCGATGTTTCTCTGTCTTCCCCACTCTCTTCCACTTTCTCTAAAAGTCAATGGGAAAATATCCTCGGGTGAGGATTACAAAATAGTGAAGCTGCAGAGAGAGATGAAAAAGTAGCTAAGAAGCTTGTTTATTTGGAATGTGAGGGGACCTCCTATGTGTCTGTGCTATTAATAATGGTTTCTGTTGTCACCACAAGCAATACTGAAGGTCCTTAAAAGGCCAGCATAGTTGCATCGTTATTTGATATCCATAAATACATGGAAAGGGGCCAAGGGGCTGTGCTAGGGATCATTTTGCAGAACTGCTGAATGATCCATGACTTGAGAGCACAGAGAGAAGGTCCAGGACCCAAATGGGAAGGGGTTGCTCGTGGTGCTTTAAAAATACCGCTGGGCAATGAAAGGTGCTCCTGTACCTCAATAAAAGCAGACGGGGACTCTGGGAACATGCAGAATGCAGATCTCAGATCCCCTTTGCAGTGCCAACAGGAACAAAAGTTTCAGGTTTGTGAGCTGGAAGTAGACCTAGTGAACTGATCATTCTTATCTGGAGACTGTCCTCATGGCTTCACGCTTGCCCCAAAATAGTTTATCTGTTAACCTACTGGAGGGGGCTTAAACCCTGTATAAGTACA